CGTGTCCACCTCTCCGTCCCCTCAGACAACGTGGTCATCAACAACACCCACAGCTACTCCAGCCGCTATCAGCGCATCCACACCTTCCCTGACGACCGCGACCATGACAGGGAGGGGGAGGGGGAGTACCAGGAGCCCAGCGCTCTGCTGAGGCCACGGGATCAGAGAGACAACACAGGTAGGTCTCACACACACACACACACACACACACGTTCTGTTCCAACACCTGAACGTCTCTCAGCCTACGTAGGACCTGACGTCTGGGTTTGATAGTGGGTTTTTAGGAGCATACTGCCACCTACTGTAGTGGAGTGTGTAGTGTCACGGTCTGAACAGTCTACTCCTCACACCTTGATGAGCGATTTGGTTTTTATTTTTAGTGAGAATTGTCACAGATTTGTATGGATTCTTGGTCCAGATGAATCACCGTCACGTCACCACGTCGACTCCAGTAAAACAGCAGCAGCTCAGAGGCTGCTTGAAGAGACAGATCTCTGTAGACGATGGAACACATGACTCAGACCATATGTATAGAATCTTTGGACGATTTCCAGCCATGGTCGTCCTTCGCTGCTCCTCCTCCTCCTCCTCCTCCTCCTCTTCTTCTTCTTCTTCCTCGTGTCAGTGAGGTAAAGACGTGGCATTCATTCATAACCAACCAGAGACTGAAAACACTTTCACCAGGCAGAAGTAAATCACCCCATCCCTCCCCCCCCCTCTGAGGAAGAGGATGCAGCTCAGAGGGGGCCACAAAAGAGCTATTGTTCTGAGAGAGGAGAAGTAAAAAAACAAACATTCCTCCCTTGTTTTCCACCACAGGAGGTTCTGCATGAGTCTTTGTCTGAGTGGGTTTGAAATAACACCATAGCAGGAACATGAGTCCTGGTCCTGGTCCTGGTCCTGTTTTAACTTTGCCTGTGACTGCTCTGCTACTCTGTTGTGCACGACATGTGTCCATGCAGCCCCCCCCCCCCCTTATGAAATCACAGTTATGCTAACATTGTCATGTTGTTGTTTTTTTTCTTTCTTGTTTATTGTGTGTGTGTGTGTGTTTTGTAACGTTTTTCACATGTATGACCCCCCCCCACCCCTCGATCGTGCCTGTGTGTGTGTGTGTGACATGGCTGTGTGTGTTTGTGTGTGTGTGTCCTCCCAGCCTTGCTGTTAAACAACCCAGCCTATCACCTGCTCCTGTCAGATCACAGGAAAAGCTCAAGACCCTCAGTGGTCCCCAGCTCCACACAGGCTCCGGAAAAGAGCCTCAATGTCCCCCAGGGTAAGACACCTTGGAGTAGGTCGACACAGTTGGGTGTGGGGGGGGGGGTGGTCTACCTCCCACACCAACTGATTTATTAAAATGATCCTTGTAGTCGACTGTAGAAAAAACACATTCCTGAATCTGTCCACCAGGTGTCTCTCTCTCTCTGCATGAGTCTGACCTCCTCCCTCCTACAGCTCTCTCCTTCCTCCTTCCTCCTCCTCCTCCTCCTCTGCCCTGGGTGTTGGTTGTCACAGACCTTTCATCCACCCTCTCTGTCTCTGCTCCTCCAGTTTGTGGTCTGGACCTGGACATGGAGAAAGGTTTCCCCCCCGCCCAGGAGGAGCCTCCGCCCTACCCCGGTGCCCCTCCTTACCCCTCCCTCTCTTCCCCCGTGTCTCCCTCACTTCCCCCCAGCGTCCCTCACTACGCCGAAGCAGACATCGTGAGCCTGCAGGGCGTCAGCGGTAACAACACCTACGCGGTGCCGGCTTTGGCCTCGTCAAGTCCCGGGGCCGACGCCGCCCCGCTGCCCGAACTGCCCCGCCAGTGTCTCATCTTCAAGGAGAAACTGGGGGAGGGACAGTTTGGGGAGGTAAGAAAATGGCCCACAGATACAGTGTGTGTGTGTGTGTGTGTGTCAGTGAGGATCGTTGTTAATTATTTTGAATCACTCTTCCGGTCTAAGGTGCACCTGTGTGAAATCGAGAATCCTCAAGATCTGCCCAGCCTGGAGTTTCCCTTCAATGTAAGGAAAGGTCGCCCTCTTCTGGTGGCTGTCAAGATACTGCGACCAGATGCTTCTAAAAATGCGAGGTTTGTGACGTCACACACAGTTGAGCAGAGCACACGTGCGGTTCATTTTGTCATGTATTCATGTCTCAACCTTCAGGACAACAATCATGGATCGTTGGTTCGTTTTTTTTTTTTTCAGTCTTTTTTTGTTCATTTATTCAAACCCACAGAGAAGAAGAACTGTTTTTATGTTGTTGCTGCTGCTGCTACTTCAGAATGACCTCTGACCTGTGACCCTTTCCACGGGTCAGAGGTCACTCAGAGCTCTGATCAGATGACCTGCAGCTCACTGTAGCTGTAGACTCCAGCCTTTTCAATCCCACAATCCTTTTCTTCCCCTCCGTCTGTGACGTGACTCGTGTGTCTCTGTGTGTGTGTGTGTGTGTGTATGTCGTCACAGGAACGACTTCCTGAAAGAAGTCAAGATCCTGTCCCGGCTAAAGGACCCCAACATCATCCGTCTGCTGGGGGTGTGTGTGAGCAGCGACCCCCTCTGTATGGTCACTGAGTACATGGAGTGTGGAGACCTGAACCAGTACCTGTCACACCGGGTCCTTCTGGACAAGACGGGGCCTTCGCACAACTGCCCAACTATCAGGTAAAGGGGGGGGTGAGGGCGGAGCCTCAACAGACACACAGTCATCACGCCGTGATCTCATTGGCTGTTGCTCTGCCACAGTTACCCCGCCCTCATCTCCATGGCCAGTCAGATCGCCTCGGGGATGAAGTTCCTGTCGTCTCTCAACTTTGTGCATCGGGACCTGGCAACACGCAACTGTCTGGTGGGAGGGGAAAAGGGTGAGAGCGGGGAAGACGCGGGCGGCGAACGTCACATCAAGATCGCCGACTTCGGCATGAGCCGGAACCTGTACGCAGGAGACTACTACAGGATCCAGGGCCGGGCCGTGCTGCCCATACGCTGGATGGCCTGGGAGTGTATACTCATGGTGAGGGGGTCGGAGGTCGGGGGTCAGGGGTGAAGGGGGAGGGTCCTGGTTATTGTCAGAGAGGATCTCGATGTTCTAGATTCAGTTTGGAGTGAGGTCCAAGTCCTGGTTCTGTGTTCCAGGGGAAGTTCACCACGGCCAGTGACGTGTGGGCCTTCGGTGTGACCCTGTGGGAGATGCTGAGTGTGTGTCAGGAGCAGCCGTACTCCAACCTGACGGACGAGCAAGTCATCGACAACGCTGGAGAGTTCTTCAGAGACCAGGGCCGACAGGTTACACACACACACACACACACACACACACACACAGGTCAGACCTGGTGATGTCATGTTGTATTGACCCTGACCCTGACCTTGACCTTTGTCTGCCCCCTTCAGGTGTACCTGACCCGGCCGGCCGTGTGTCCTCAGGGTCTGTACGAGCTCATGTTGAGCTGCTGGAACAGAGACTGCAAGCTCCGCCCATCCTTCGCCTACATCCACTCCTTCCTCACGGAGGACGCCATGAACATGGTGTAGAGTCAAGAGGAGCTGAGGTCGGAGGTCAGGCTGGAGCCTTGTCACCTCTGTGGTGGAGGTGCAGAGGGGGAGAAAAAGGGGGAGACGGGGTCACATCCTTACTTTTCTGTGTGGGGGGTCTGGGGCTGAGACGCTGCTGGTTCAGTTTAGTTCCATCTTCAGACCCTTAAAGCTAAGCTAAGCTCTGAGCTAAGCTAGAGTTTAGTTTAGGGTAGACTTAGCTAACCTAGTAATTAGCTACTAGCTTCAGTTCAGTGGTCGGTGGTGGGTGCAGCGTCTGCGTAGGATCTTTCTCTCCTCTGAAATACTTTAGGTACGTTGGGTTTTTATATGTGACTAGAGTTGAAGATACAGGAGCTGAACACACGAGTCAGTGACATCACTTTGCTGCAGAGTCACAGATCAGGGTCACACTGGAGGTCAAGTGTGTACACACACACACACACACACACACACACAGATGTCTTAGTTTTCAGTGAATACAGTCAGATTAAAAATCCTTGTTTATAAAAGTCAGTCACGTGAAGAAAAATCATCAGATTTGAACACACGCCGTGCTGCTGCACCTGGAACACGTTCTTCATCACATTGGTTTGGATGAGACACCTGGAGCCCCGCCCACTTTGTCTGCCCTGTCATCCAATCAGTTTGTTCTCAGACACTGATGTCACAGCACATCCTTCAAAGAGAGAGAGAAAAAACTGAGGACAGGTTCTGCTGCTGTGACCCCCCCCAGCCCCCAGCCCAACCCCCCAAGAACAGAGAGAGCCCACTGCCAGCCTGAGTGGAGGACGGGACAGACTGTTGTTGTTTTGGTGTTTTCTTTTTCTGGCTCAGAGTCAGAGAGAAAAAGAAAGTTGTAAGAGAAAAAGAAAAAATTCCAGAGTCAGCTGCACTTTAAAGCCCCACATTTATGCCTTTCCCTCCCCAGCCGTGATAACACCCCCGTCTGCATAAAATGATTTCTGTCCACACGGATTCTGATGCAGTTCACCTGCAGTGACGTGAGGGGGCAGTAGAGATGCAGCACAAAAGTGCTCAATACGGACATGAGTTCTTCGGTTTTTCAAGCCCGGCTTGAGTGAATCAGTGCCGAACTACGGAGCCCCTGAAAGGACAAGGAAGAAAGTGTCTGGCGAACACCTGAAACTTACGGGTGAGCAACAGAAATGTTTTTATTTGGGTTTTTATTTTCCCGCATTTTTCTTTAGGGGTTATCAAATGATTATAAAAAAAAAACATGGACGACACAATCCCGCCATCTCATCACGACAGTTTAGTTCTGGGGGAGTCGTGTGAACTCGTCAACTTATCTGTCTGCACTAATGGACCCCAGGTGTTTTCCCGGGACTGTGAGGCCCAGAGAGGGACTGGACCGTCAACTAATGTCCGGTTCGTGAAGCTAACTGTGGTAGAACCTTCGGAACTCCTGTCGTTCTTCACACACTGTGGTATAACTGGAACCATTCGATCATTTTTATAGTTTCTGTTTGTTTGTACTCCCGACTGTTCGACGTCATTGGTCCTTCTGTTTCTTGAAGCTGAATTTTATGGTTTGTAAATATTGAGGTCAAATCGTTAATTCCCTTTACTAATATATGGAACGATCTTTGTTACGTTCGGGGTCTTCTGTATTTCTGTAGAACGCTTGCTACCTTGAATCAACTGTAATTCACGGTGTTGTCTATTTTTGTAGATGTTTTAATAAAGTTAACCTTTTCAAATAAAAGCGGGTGCGACAAATGTTTACAGCGAAGGTCATCAATGGGGACAGGCGACCCCTAGGTGCTTGGAGGAGTTACTGCACTTACAGGTATGTTAATACTGCTCTGATTGGATGTGAAAAATGTTATTTTGTGATATCACCCTTTGTTTTCTTCTTTCTTTACAGTTGATTTCACCTTCATATAATTCATGGATGTGGAAACAGTGACGACGTCGCAAGTTCTCACTGGTAGGTTACAGGTATGACGTGTGTTTTGTACTGTAACCCGCTGTGGTAAAAAACATTTGAAACAAAGATAATGGACGGCAGAAAGTTTAAGACGGTTTTGATTCGTGAAAGGAAAACAAATGTATAATTGTATGAAGGTCGGGTTTAGGAAAGGAACCCTAAATAAATAGATAAACGTCCAAAGTTACACAATAATGACGTGTCACTCACTGGTCAGGCAGGTCATTTTAATCGGCTAATGACATATATATTTTATATATGTATTGTACATGTGTATTGACTATAAACTACGACTTCCCCGTTTGAAATTGATATCCCGCGAAGTGACAGAATCCGAACACTAGATGTCAGTGTTGCCACATTGTTATAACTAAAACCGATTCAGTAGGAATTCTGAAATATGACAATATGACCAATAATCGCATGTTAATAATTAGAAAATCGAATCCCGAGCGAGTTAAGGAAAACGACCGTTTTGTTTAGAGGTTATTGATATTTTAAAAGTAACTTTCTGCCTAATTGACACAGCATCGAGGTGAAAATGTGGTGGAATCCGTGACAAACTGATTAAGGTCTTCGGGAATTTCCACCACAGGTTTTCACAGTGTGAACTAAATCACTGTAACAAAACTAAAAATGTACATTTGGTTTGATTACATTCACAGTTGTCTATGGACTTCTGTTGATAATAAAGATTAAAAACTCGAACCGTTTGGTTTTTTTCCTCTCAACAAAATGTCCCCGTTATTTCACCGGAACCTTAAATCTGTGGCGTGGGGACTTCATTTACCGGAACACAGGGAAAATAACCCGAGCGTGTGGTGAACGGGTTCATGATACTATGACAGCAGTTTAACGGTATTCGGGTTTTATTTCCGTGCCAGATTTTGAACTTTACTTAGTCACAGTCACAGTCGGACCTGGTTGATGAGTCGGACTCAAACAGGAAGTGCCACCTCTTAACCGGCCCGTCATGTTTGATTATTCTTAACTGTCGCATTGACATTATTTTGCACCAGAATTTACAACCTTGTTGTTTTGACAGATCCCGTGAAATAACAGAAACTGACCGAATTGATTCAGAGTTAAATCTTCTAAACCCTGTACGTCACATCCCTGCTGTGGAGAAAAGCGTTAGGGAAATCAGTAAAAATGAAGCGACCACATTGTCCTGTGATTAGGTCACATTTTATTGTCTACTGTATCATAAAACATTTGACTACACATCAGGTGTTGGAAACATAACACTAACTACAGTATAATCTTCACACATTTATATCGACCCAGTCATGTGAAAAATAGAAACATGCAGCAAACGGCACATTGATCAGCAAAGTCTCAGAACGTACAAAGAATAGCTTTCAGGTTTGATTGACAGCCGTCAGTGAGGGCTGACGGCTTCAGAGTTTTTCCCTGACAGAAGTGGAGCCACAGTGACATGGCAGTTGAGGAGTTTTTCACCAGGCACTTGAAGGTAGCAGAGATGATTATGGCTTTCAGCTGGAAAACATACAGTTAGGTTGAAAGGCATCGGAGGAAACTGTGGGTAAAAAAAAAAAAAAACTCCTTAAATTTCCAGAGGTTCTGGAGCAACAATCTCTACAGATACAAAACTAACATCTGCTTCATATACAACAGCAGCTAGAAAACAGAAGGACACACAGCAGAGTATACTGGCTGTGGTTTCGTACGACAAGCACATCAAAGCAACATGTTGGTTAGTGAGTTAGTTAGCTGTCCTACTTTACTGTGAGACGATACAGACGTCAGGACGCGTTCCTGCCACACACTTTCACCGCCTTCTTCATAAAACCTCAGACGCATCGTTCCACCGACCACTTCCTTTTCCTTCAATCTGTAGCTGAGAATTCATCCACTTACAAACAGACCTTGGCTCTGTGTAGTAGTCAGTTATCGCCAAGTTACCACGTAGGACTAGTTGACCTTTTTGAACAGTGACGTTTGGTTATGTCAAGCAAAGAGTACAGGGAGGGGCAGGTGTTAGGAGGTCACAACAGCATTCGGTAAATTTAAAAGGCACAGAAATTAAAAAAAATTTAAAAAACTAAAATAATTTTCTAACTTAAAAATGATAAAAACAAATGTCTAAGGTTTCTATTAGTGGTCCCTCAGAGGGGATGATGAGGCGATTGTGACGAGAAAGTAAAAACATTCGTGCTCCACAAAAACACAGATGCATTCATTGACACTCTGACCGTGTACGCTTGTTTTTGCTGCCCCCTAGAGAATAACTGAGGTAACAAAACAGACACTGGAGTTGAACACATGCAGGTACAACATGATGATGATGATGCTGCCGTAGTCATGACAGTGGTGAAGAGGAGTGAAGCTGCTGCTGTCAGCAGGCGTGACGAAGCCCCGCCTCCTTCAAGTCTCCGCCTCCTCCTTAATGGACACCAGTCGTATGATTCTGGACAGGTCAGAGAGAGCAGAGAGGTCAGGCGACCTGCAGGTCAGACTCACAGCCGTACCCGAGGGTCGAGGGTGTTCTTACCAGAGCGATGTTCACTCCTGTCAGTTTTTCGATGGTGGCAGGAAGTCTGTTCATGATTTCCAGGACTTCTCCTGCCAGTTTGGCCGCCCCGACCTCTGAGCCGCCGCTGGACACCATGGTGATCTTCTTGGTCTGACACAGTGGCTTGCTGATTTCCTCTGCCATCTGATGGAACAGCAGAAACAGGGAGTGAGTAAACACAACATCGTGAAGGTCAAGTTAAAGTTCTGACTCCAACTGGTTCTAGTTTTTGTTTTGTGACTAAAACAAAGAAACGAGAAGTTCCAACAAGAACCGCAGAATTTAACAGTCCCCACTGAACCGACTGTTTGACATCTGTTATCCAACACCGTTGCATCTGCCCCTGATGATGTCACTGACCAGAGGCAGTTGCTCCAGCAGCATGTCCACCATGGCTCCATCTTTGTACTGCTGGAAGGCCTCGGCCTTCTTGGCCATCTGCTCTGCATCGGCACGACCCTTGGCCTCAATGGCGAAAGCCTCGGCGTCACCTTTGACCTACAGACAGACACATCTGGGTGGTCAGGAGAACACAGCTGAATATGTGTCAAAGAAAATCAATGAAAATGTTGGAGTTTGGGTAGAACGTACTCTGATGGACTCGGCCTCGGCCTCTGCCTCCATGATGAGCTGCAGACTGTGGAGCAGAAGAACAACTGAGTAACACGGTCAGGGCAGAGAGAGGAGGACAGTCCTGCTGTGTCACTCACCGCTGAGCCTCAGCCAGCTTCTCCAAACGGTACTTCTCAGCTTCAGCGGGCTTCTTCACCTTGGCCTCCAGCTCATTCTCTTTGCGGATGATCTCCTGCTCCTGCAGCAGGATCTGCTGAGACCGCTCCACCACCTGAACCTGCATCTTCTCCTCTTCGATGCGCTGCTTTGTCTTGGCCACCTGGTGGACAAATCAGAGCATGAACGGATCATTTCAACAACAAGGAAAAAAAACAAGAATTTGAAAATTCTCAGAAAATAATGTTGTGCTTCAGAAACGAAGGTGTGATGAAACAACTGTACCTGAAGCTGATAGGCCATCTCTGACTCCGCCTTCTTGGTGTTGACCTCAACATCGTAGGCCGCCTTCTTCAGCTCGTAGTCTCGCTGGGATTTTGCCATTTCAATTTCATTCTTGTACTGAGCAGACACCTTCTCCTGCATGGCGTGCGCCTCCTGCAGGTAGACAGAGGAAACACACGTATGTTACCAATCTGATCAATAAAAAATGCAAACAGGGAGAACGACAGGAAGAAGGACGTTACCCTGATGACGGCGTCACGTTTGTACTGAGCCTCTCCTATCCTGGCATCCTTCTGCACCTGGGCTGTTCTGGCTTTACCCAGAGAATTAAGGTAGTCCTGGGGGGGGGGCACAGATGGAGGAAACATCAGCGTGGAGACACAGATGGGATGACCTCACTCATCAATAATGCACAGAGCAGAATGGGCCGAGTCAGAGAGGGTGAGTCAACAAATGAATCTGTTACAGTAACAGGAAGTCGTTCATCACTGAGGTCAGTCCCGGTCATTTACATCAGTCTTCTTCATTGGTTCATTTTAAAATGACAACACACACGTCTAGTTGTTAGGCCACAGTAGAGGAGGATCGATGTTGATGAACATGATCTGATCTAACAGGAAACAGTTTTTCTTCATGAAAAAAGTACAATTTATTTCTGATCCTGATGAAAGTTATTTTTTACAGTTAAGTTTTGTGGACGACTTCCTGCCATGAAAGTGAAAGAATATCCCAGCTCTGACCCCTAGAACCCAGGTCAAGACTTCAACAGCCTCCTGATTCTAAACCCCAGCTCTCACCAACAGATGGCACTGTCTGACTGCCCGACCACAAACTCAGAGGATTTAAATCCACAGTTGAATACCTGGTCATCGTGGACGTCTTTGAGGGTGTAGCTGACCACACCGATACCCATGTTGACCAGGTCAGAGGAGGCCACCTTAAAGACCTGCTCAGAGAACTTCTTACGGTCCTGGTAGATCTCCTACACACACACACACACACACACAGAGTCACTTCAGTTAATGGTTTTCTCCCAACTATTTCAGATATATTTATACTCCTTTGTGTGTATTTGTATAAATGTGTGTGTCTTCAGTACTGATGAACCGACCTCCACTGTTAAATGGGCGATAATGGCTCTCTGGTGACCCTCCAGAGTTTCCAGGGCAATCTGGGAAATCTCCGCCTCCGACTTGCCCATGAACATCTGGCAGGCCGTGGCCAACATCTCCTTGTTCTGCCCCTGGATCTTCACCTGTGTCGGGACAGGAGGACAGAGGACAGGAGGACAGAGGACAGGAGGACAGAGGACAGGAGGACAGAGGACAGGAGGACAGAGGACAGGAGGACAGAGGACAGGAGGACAGAGGACAGGAGGACAGAGGACAGGAGGACAGAGGACAGGAGGACAGAGGACAGGAGGACAGAGGACAGGAGGACAGAGGACAGGAGGACAGAGGACAGGAGGACAGAGGACAGGAGGACAGAGGACAGGAGGACAGGTACAGTGGGGCTATAAATAGACCTGTGATCTTATTAGGACTCCAGGCCTGGGCTGCTGTTCTTTGATGGTGGTCAAACTGGTGGTTCTGTGGTCAGACGTGGTACGTACAGTAAACAGTTTGAGAACCACAGGTTGGACCGTACCTGTGCAATGCCAGTTACAGAGACGGGGACGCCACGGCGGGTGTAGACCTTGTCACTCTTCACGTTGAGCGTTAGCGTGTTGAGCGTGATCCTACGGAGAAATGAAAATAAACGATAAGAAGAAGGAAACGTGTGACAGCAGCCACAGGTCTCTGCAGCAGGAAGTACGATGACATCACTTCCTGGAGATTGAATTAACATCAGCTGACAGACTGCACCAAACCTGGTTTTTTATTAAGATTAAAAGATCACCATAAATCATCAGTGTTCAACATTAAACAGGGTGTAGGGAACTTATATTTTCAAATGTAATATATACGTGTGTGTGTCTGTGTCAGTAAATTTACCCCTAAATATGAGGAAAACGACGACACAGAGAGAAGAGTTTTTTTTACCTCTGGATCTGTTGAATACATGGGAGAACAAAGACACGTCCTCCAGCAATCATTAAAGGAGGAGAGCGGCCAAAACCTGACACACACATTTACACACACATTAGTCATTTGTTGATCCTGCAGTTTTAATCACAAGTTATGGATCACAGTGAAAATTCTTATCAAAGGTCTGATGATAAAATCAATCACATGACAAAGACAACTGTTCCTTAATTTTTCCTGCTCAGACAAACCAGAATTGCAGAACAACTGTTTGTTTCTACCCAACTGAAAATGTTGTGGTTCTCCAACATCCTGTTTTAGTTGGTAATCAAATAAGTATAATAATCAAATAGTTTTAAAGGGAACTTCGCTGTTTAAATAAACTAAAAATGATACAAACTAATGATAATTTAATTTATATTTAACATGGAATGTTTTTTTTTAAAATCTAAATCACAACTCTTACCACTGACAACCATGGCTTCGTTGGGTCCACACGTGTAGAACATCTTGATGTTTGCTGTAACAAAATAATTATGAAAATTAAGTTATAATTAAGAGAACTTCAAAGACAGCATCAGATGTAGTGTTTCTATCATTTACACGTGAACCCATGTCCAGTAAAGTGGAATCAAAGGTTTATTTATGGAATAAACACATTAAGTTTAACGTTATGTATTTAAACATAACTTATTTGTTATAAACAATGTCTACACATTCACATTGTTTATTTATTTACATTCAGTCCTGCAGTAAAGATGGAAGGAAACTAGTTTTTAAATGATACAACAAGACTTTAATTATTTCGGTCTAAGTTAAATATTCGGTCGTTAAACACTTTGGTTATTTGTTTGTAATAATTGTGATGATTTTGTTGAAGATGTCCGTGTGGTTTCATTAGAGCTAAGCCCTTTAACAGACAGTGCAGCCTGGGTGTCCACTCCCCTCTCCGCTCCGCTCCTCACCGTAACGTAGTCTGACCGCTACGCTGCACCAGAACACGGTCGACGTAAAAACGACAGTAACAAATACTTCATTACGAAACACACACACAGTTCTACAACAGAAGAACTTTACAACAATCTGTCAATTCAATTTTGAACCAAAAGAATATCGAATGCTAACATTAGCATGCTAGCTGTTTCTATGCTGTGAAATCGGTTCGAGCTCATAAACGTTCAGAGCGGAGAGAAAAATCTTACGTAAACAAACGAAACATTCTAGCAGTGTGTACGTCAAAATATACTGATGACATCGTTACACTCACCGAATGTCTATTACGGGATTTAAAAGCGATTATTCAAATAAAATCAGAAAGATTTTTATTCCAACGGTCGCCGAGAGAGGAATGACAAATATGTCTGTTTGCTGACGGACGTTTCCCAATCCACGCCCATCGTCAGCGCCAATCCCGGCTGTCTGGGGCCATCTAACGGTCAGGGTCAGAACTGCACTTGAATTGGAAAAGGCGTGGCCACTGGTTGATTGTCGAACGCAGTAAAAATACAGGCTGCAGATTTTTGTGTGTATTTTGTGTATGTAAATACTCCCTGCTGCTGATTTGAATGTTGTTTGAATTGTCCTTTAAGTCAGTTCAGAGAGTGCTTGTACTTCGCCATTGTTTATAGATGTACTGAAAAAAAAAGTTACATTTTACATCTTACATTTACACAACATTTGAGGATTGTAATCTTACATTTACACAACATTTGAGGATTGTTTTCTAATTTTGCTTCTTCATCTACTCACACTGTCATGACAAGGGAACTGGAACATATTGGGCGACAAAAATTAAAGGTGATCAATATCTGGACATGGATTTGGGCTGGAAATTAATTATTTTTGTCGATATGAAGGTTAAACTAAGATCATAGCATGGGGTTAGTAACAACGCTGGTTCATACAGAGGGCCTAGATCTACATGCTGGGCTCCAGTGAGTCAGTGATAAGACACCACTCAGACCATTAGGAGGCAAAAAATCTGATGTTTTAACAGTAAAAAAAAAACCCAGAATAACAGTTGATGTTTTTTTAAGCAGTTTCCCTTCGTTTCCACCCACTGACTGGGCCTGGTCACCTCCAACAACAGCGTCCATTCTTTTTCTGTGAGACGGCCCGTGGTTGTGAGATGGTGTGTTTGCTGCATCGTTGTGTCGCAGCAGGAGACGGACCAGTGTGTGTCCTGATCAGACGGTGCCTGGCGTCCTCTGTGCCCCGCCTTTTATTACGGCTTTACAGTAAAATTCACTTTCCAGACGAAAAATGCGTACTAACAACAGGAACAGTGTTATTTTTCTGCTGTAGGAAAATCTGCCAAGTGATGAAATGAGTGAAAAATAGATGATTGTCATTGAGGTGAGGTGACGTAGGCTGACGGTGGTGTAGAATAACATGACAGAAACAAAAAGATTCGTTTTTATTTTAAGCCTCCTGCAGCAGGTGAATGGAATCCAGTGGCCGTGGATGTTTCTCTCATTTCTCTTGGTTTTTCCTCCTCCCAGGCTTCAGGGAGCTGACGGCAGAGGCCCGGCTCCTCCTCTGGACTGACCAGGCCTCCACCACTGACATCATGCTGTGAAGACCAGATGGGTTGGGTTGGAGTTCTGAAGGAGGAAATCTTGTAGTCTTTCTACTGAGTCAAGGAGGTTCAGGTTATTTGTTGGGCGTTGAACAGATTTATATCTGAAATGTTTGGTTCACTCTGATCACACAGAGGAGATGGAGAACAACTGAAGTTTAACCTCCACAACACAAACCATTTCAACCCCACCCTTACAGTAAAATCATTCTGTACTGACACAAAATATTTCATGCACATCATGCTGTCCAGTGCTTTAATAATATAAAATAATACTAATACAAATACAACAGATAAACAGACATTGGTTTGTCTGCAGAGTAATGCAGTACTGTAGTACTGTGTGTAGCAGTATTTGTTCCATCCGTGACTTCAAATACCAGTGAGAGATGATGATTTACCAGTACCAGGTGAGTGTAAACTAAGGTCAGAACAGCCGTCAGTTTTAATTGACATGAAAATTAAAATCAGTCACAAAGGACAAAAATCCTGGATGAAAAAATACATTCAAGCTTTTCACAGTGGAACTGGAGGAGGAAGTGATGTCATCATATCTGAGGTTAGAAGTTTAATGTTTCAGACCAGAAGTCGCAGAAGCTTTTTTTCACTAAATGGTATCATATTTTATACAGCATCATATTCTAGTTATTGACATGACGAATACCTTGAACTCATCACTAAACGCTAACTCACAGATTTATTGTGTATATGAATCTTTCACAAAATTATTAGCCACAATCAATCCTTGCTAGCTAACAGCTGCTTCTTTTTTATCTTTATATCATGTGTTACTAGCTAACCTGCTGCCTGCTAATAATACATTTGGTAAACGGAGCTTACGATATTTCACTGGGGATAATTCGACTTTTTATTTCATATATTTACAACTTTATTCGTGGAAACGTTTGACTTTTCCCTTATAATATGAAGCCTTTATCCCCCCACCCCAAAAAAAACAAAACCCCGTTAGGATCGTGGTGCCGAGGTTATTCCACCATATTATCGTTGATCTACGACTTCGCTCTCGTCCCCACGACCACGTCCTCATATACTCACCACCTTTCCTCGTCATAGTTCAACGTTTTTCGCATGAATTTACAGTATTATTTTTCAGAAACGGACGTTTTTACCCTCGGTGTTTGAGCTCATTTTGTCGCCGTGGCCCTGGAGGACAGCAGCTGCTCACATTCTGATCCATCTGTTGAGTCATCTCCACTCCCTGATTTGCAGCAGTCCTTCCTCCTCCGGGCCAATCGGCGCGGACGACAGCTGCACCGACCACGCCCCCTGGCCTCGGCCACGCCCCCGCCTCTCCCTGGAATGGCTCCAGCCTTATAAATCCATTGTCCTGCTCTCGGTCTCTCCACTCCGGTCCGTGCTGTGTGCCGCGCTCCGCTCTGTCGCTTCTTCTGCTCGCCATTGTCAAACTTTGTCAGCCATAATGAGGGAAATCGTGCACATCCAGGCCGGTCAGTGCGGCAACCAGATCGGTGCCAAGGTAAGGGAACCGTTTAGCCCTAGAACTGCTGTGTTGACTGGGGATAAAAGGGTCCGTTTTCAGGCCAACTGTCACACCCCAGACTCATTATGCAGCGCACATTCACNGAGGTTATTGGTGGGTTGGGGTTTAAAATGTGACATTTAATGTTTTCATATTTAAAAATAACATTTAAAAATAACATCGATATGTGGCGATGAAGCAGGAGAATCAGTGTGTGTGTGTGTCAGTACTGCAGTCAGTGCTGCAGTCAGTGCTGGGTCGGTGGGTGGGTGGGTGTGCCTGTGTTCACAGGACGGTATATAACGGGATACGGCGCTTTTGTGTCTGTCTGTGTTTTGTTCATTCAACACCGGGCGTGTCTGTGTCTCCGCTCCGTGGACTGAAGACCACCTCGAGACATTCTCTGTGGGAGAATGGAGAGACAGAGAGAGAGAGAGAGAGAGACAGAGAGAGAGACAGAGGGAGAGAGAGAGAGAGCTGCGTCTATTCTTCCTCCCTGTTTTCTTTGTCTCGCACGGGCAGATATGACTGGTATTCTAGACAATGAGTGAGCTCTGAGGCCTAGATACCCCCTCACCCCCCTCACCCTCACCCTCACCCCCATCAGCAGCAGCAGCAGCATCTCGTCTAATGGTCAGCACCAGGTATTGATCCGTTTGAGTGCAGTGTGGATGCAGACTGCTGTCTCAGCTGCTCACAGAGAGGGGGTGCTGTGGGAAGGGTGTGGCATGGACCAGTGAAGTGGTCTCATCCTCCAGCACCGACTGAGGAGGGTTTCAACATCTGACCAGTTACATCTGCAGTGTTTAACACCAACACCAACCTGGTTATTTGTCATAATTTATACGACGACCAGTCGGAGTGGGAGCACAGTGAACGTCCAGTACTGAGAGGAGCCAGCATACAGGCACAGTGATTTACATTAGAAGACACACTTTTATCAGGGGAATGAACCTCCATTTTAACCAGTGATTCATTTTAACCAGAGATTTCTTCAGACTGTGGATGAATCAACAGTCGTTTCATGATTTATTTTTTTCATTCTGGTTTATCTTACACTCTGACTCCTCACAGCTCCTGGTCTGATTATAAATATTTGTCAAATACTGAACCGACGGTCGCAGTAAAACCCACAGTCGTTGGCTCCCACACCCTCTGACGATCACTGTCCCACTCTGTGATCATTGAACCGTGTCCTTCGGTCGACGCTGCAGCTCCTGATTCTCCTGATTTTAAAGACCACATGTACAGCAGTCCACGGTTTCCAGGAGTTTCTTTCCGTCATGGCGGTGCTGATGCTTTGCCAACTGGGATTTAAATGTCCGAGGCGAGGCAGGGCCTGTCTTTGTCATCGCTAACCAAATTAGGGTCAGGGTGGGGGGAGGGGGGAGGAAACAGCTGAGGGAGTCAGTGGGTGAGGTCACTGGACTCTCAACTGTAGGAAACCACGGGACAAACTGGACAAACAACTGAACGATGAGCTGCAGTGACCCACATG